CGTAGGCGTGACGTCACCTAAGCCCTCGCCGCGCACGGGAGCAGCGGCGGCGGCGGAGGAATGGCGAGGCGAAGCAGAGGTAGGCACTGAACGGACCTGACACGACCCGATCCAGCCAATTGGCGCTGCGCTCGCGGTCCCTGTTCGGATCTGATGGCTCGGTTCGGTTCCGTCACAGGTGGCGGCATCGTCACGGATGCGGCGTCGAAGGCGGATGCGGCGGCGACGCGGGTGGTGTTCCGCAGGGGCGCCGCGCGGCTGGTGCTCGTGTCGACCATCGCCTGGGCCATGCTCGGGCTCCTCGCACTCGCCTTCCACCTCCGGCCCTGCAGCTCCCCCGTCACGTTCCTCTCAGGTGAGCCAGCTAGCTAAGGTCCCCGCGGCTTCCCTCGCTGCTGTCCATAGACCCATTGCAATTTCCTTACCTGTTCTGCTGGCAGTATATTCTAGCACTATGCCTCTGCCCAGCTTCGTCTTTACAATGCCCAAATGCCTGAGCTTGATGATGCATCGGTAGAGCAGTAGCAGAGGCTTGCTTGCTTACATTGCTTCGGGAGTCAGTTAACTCAAGTAGTAACAGGACGACCCGGTTATCCTATCCACATTCTTCACCGATAAGGAATGGAAACAGTATCTGATAACTTTTAATTCTGTTGGTTGTCTCACGTCTCTCATATTCAGTGTGCAATCGTGCGTTAAGATGTCTTGCTTGTGAGTTATAGCTAATGTTCATCACTTCTTACTTGCTCATGGACATGATAATTATATGTTCTTCTAATACTTAATCTCCATTCTGAATTTATAATGCTGTTTCAGTGCTACATCTTCTGAATATACATATTTTCTTCAGACTATTTGCTCTGAAGTTAAATACCTTCTGATCTTCCATAGACTGCCTATCATAATAGTGGTACTTTGTCTTATCAGTTATCATTACATGATTGGTGTGCCTTGTATCTCTGCAGCCCTTTGCAAAAAAGACAGCAAAGTTCTCTCTGTGTTGGACTCGATGGGGCTCTCATCGAAACCGCTCCACCGTAAGACTCGCACCTTAAAATTTCTGTTGGGTCCAAAACAGTGACTGCTTCGTAGCCTCACATTTGTTACTTCAATCTACAGGCTGCCCCATACCTGTTGCCGATGATCCAAATGCTGTTGCCATCCCAAAGAGGACTCCCAACACAATCGTGAAGAAGTTGTCATATATAACTGTTGACAAACAGGATAAAGATCCTTCACCGCTGTTTGGAGGACGTCAAAACTGGAAACAGAGGGAGGAAAGCTTTAAACTGAATTCTACCATGAAGGTAACTACTAGCCTTTAATGTGTGCATGTACTGTTTAAACTTGCTTGCACTCTTGGTTCTTAATTTCTGTGCTATAGCCAAGGTGACAAATGGCGGTTAGCGGGTATGTAGCGGATTGACGTCTACGTAGCGGATTGCAGATAGTGGGTGCTATAGCCGACGCTACGTTCCAATTATATTATCTAATAATCTCGTGTAATTTAGATATATGTGTATCTTAAATAATGACTTTCTTACATATTAACAAATCAACTAAATACCAATTAACAATAGACTAATAAATAAACATATAACTTAAATAGTGTAAATAGATATTTAACTGTATTCGAAGACTTGATTCTTGATCAAATATATCTTAAATTAAGAATGAACTAGTTATGTTTTAGACTTCGGCCGCTATAGCGGACTGCTACGTCTAATCACGGCCGCTGTAGCGGCTAGCTGCGTCAAATAGCGGGTGCTAAGTTCCAAACCGCTATATCCAAACTGCTACATCGTAGCGGTAGCGGTAAGGGGCCGCTACCGCTATTGCGGCCGCTATAGCGACCGCTACGAATGCTATTTAGTACCTTGGCTATAGCTCGAGCGGCAGTTGGTTGAAAGATCAGTTAGATTCTCCTTTTGTAGATTAGGGCGTTTGGCACTGAAGCATTTCCAGATTTTGTTGAATGCTAAATGAATGGGTCTGGTTTCAAACTGCACATAAGGAAAGTGAAGGAGTCACCCTTTTACTATACCTTCACTAGGAGTTTCTTTTTTGTGCAATGGGGAAAACTACATTCTGCATCCATGAGTTTTGATGTTTTCACCTTGCATTTGTTTTCCATTAGTGGTGTCTTGCAAACTACATCAGTGAGGCGCACACAATGTGTGAACTGTCTCGGAACCATCCTTGAGATCAAATTACCTGAAACTTACCCTACTTGACAGAAATTACTTGGTACAGCATAGAATTTATCATGGACAATCTATGTATTGGACCAATCAGCAGCTTAATATTTTTCAAGGTCCATAGATGATAAAGATCAGTCACTAGAATCTACACTGGAGTTGTAATGTTGGTGACCAGTTAGTGTAATTTTCTAGTGCTTGTCTGCTTTGCGCCTACAATAAAAAAAATATGGCCTGCATTTTCATCATTTTTCAAAAGAACAGTGCACATTTTCCTCTAAATGGTACCTTATTACAGTCTTTTCATTTTCACCATTTTCTGAATCTTAAGTCACGATGCTTTATAGTTAAGCCTGCTGTTAAAAGTGTTTGGCCTGTGATATATGCCCAGGTGCACTGTGGATTTATGAAAAATAGCGGTGCGGATATGGATATCATTGATGTCAAGTACATACAGAAATGCAAATTTGTGGTTGCCTCTGGTATTTTTGATGGCTATGACATTCCCCATCAGCCATCAAATATTAGTCGTCGGTCTCAGAAGCTGTTCTGCTTCCTAATGGTGGTAGATGAAGTATCTCTTGATTTTATTGAAAAGAACACCACCGTCAAGATTGACAGTGCTGGAGGAAAATGGGTTGGTATATGGCGACTTATAACGGTACATCGCCTCCCATTTGACGAACCAAGAAGGAATGGAAAAATACCGAAGATTTTAACGCACAGGCTATTTCCTCAAGCTTGGTATAGCATTTGGATTGATGGGAAAATGGAGCTCATAGTTGATCCACTGCTTATTCTTGAGAGGTTGGCTTTCTATCTGGAACCTCGGACACATCATATTGCTTTATCAATGATCATTGGAAATTCTTTGCAGATATCTCTGGCGTGGAAAATACACATTTGCAGTAGCTGTCCATAAGCATCATAGGAGCATCTATGAAGAGGGTGATGCAATCAAACGACGGAAGCGATACGCTCGTCCTTTGGTTGATCTTCAGATGAAGATGTACTATTATGAGGGGATGGAGCCTTGGAGCCCAAAGAAAAAGATGCCTAGTGGTGAGTGCAATCACATATGCCCACAACATTCTACACAACTGCTGTTTGTTGCTTAATATTAGTATTTTCTGAAAAATTGGTTCGTTCTTCCACCAATCCACATTGTTTATAAGACCCAATTATAACTTGCAGATGTGCCGGAGGGAGCAGTGCTGATCCGGGAGCATACAACGATGACCGATCTCTTCAGCTGCCTCTGGTTCAATGAAGTCAATCTTTTCACGCCACGTGATCAGATCAGCTTTGGCTACGTGGAGCATAGGCTTGGAGATGCTCTTAAGTTCTTCATGTTCCCTAACTGTGAATACAATTCACTGTTCATCTTGCACAGACACACAAGAGAACACTCATCTAAAGTCGAATGGGCCAAAACAATAGATGAGATTGTGAAGAAGGGACTGAAGGAGAGTAGAGGAGGATTAGGGCTATGGACTCCGTATCCTGCAGATCTCAGCTCTATGGAACTGCCTGCTGTAAAAAGAACTTCACCGGCAGGCTAGGATGTAAATTTTGTGGCCTTTGATTCTTTCATGGTTGTACAAAGTAGAATGCTGATTTTTCTTTGTTCTTTTTCTCCCGCTTAAGCAGATGAGATCATGTAATTCCTGTAGATTCTGTTGCAACTGAGCACAGGGAGTACTGTAAGCTAATGCTTGGAGATTGTCACTTCAGTTCTGTGCAAAAAGAACAGAGGAACGTAATAGGACGGATTCATGTTTGTAGTGATGAAAGCATATGACAAATCATTAACGTTTCACATTGCAATTCAACACAAGTATAAGAGAACAGAACTAGCAGGGTACATAATTTTTCATCAGTTGTCGGACTCAGGAGTCAGGACATGGCTCCGGCCGTTCGGCGTCCATCGGAATCGCCGTATCTTGCAGATGACAGCACTGTGGAACTCGATCCCTGCTGTATGAAGAACTTCGTCACTGATTTTTCCTCTTTTTTTTTGGCTCAATCAGTTGAGAGTATGTAATTTCTTGTATATTCTATTGCAGCTCAACATTGGGAGCACTGTAGGGCAACACTTAAGTTTTGTTGCTTCCAGTTATGTTCATAATCGTTGAATTTTTATACTGTACTCATGTAAAAGAACAGTGGAATGTAACAGATCGAATTTGTTTGTGGTGATGAAATCATACGTCCAGTCAACATCATTTCATATTGCAATTTTAACAATGGGGATTCATTTACACTCATTTGCGTAGGTGCCATAAAAATATTGTTCTCCATAGAAGAATCATGGTTCAGCAGATCTGGTATAAGGATATCAAAACAACAATTAGACGTTATAGCACCTGAAATTAATCAGGGCCAAAGCATCATGCACTTCTAGATGAATCACTTTCCTTCCACCTGATACAATTCCATCAGCATTCTCTGATCTACCAAAAGTTCCTACACCAGAATCACAAGGGCCAACTCGAGTGGAATACAGGACCAGGTCCGCACCTCCTCAGGAGATCTACCAAAAGTTCCTACACCAGAATCCACGTTGAACTGAAACAGTTGCTGTTTGGCCTCAGTGCCTCTTCACAAGCTCATGCCCCAACATGGCTCATCATATCTAGAAAACTCTACGCGAAGGTAAAGGGATATCAAAACGACAATTAGAAGTTATAACACGTCAAAATAATCAGTGCAACGCACCATGCACTTCTCAATGAATTGTTTTCTTTCCACCTGACAATTCCAGCAGCATTCTCTGATCTACCAAAAGTTCCCACACTAGACTCACAAGGACCAACTCGAGTGGAATACAAGACCAGGTCTGCACCTCCTCCCATCCACGTTGAACACGATGCCAGGCTGCACGGCAGCAGTCTTCCCCAGATGCAGGTTCAGAAATCCCTCCACCTGAAACAGTTGCGGTTTGGCCTCAGTGCCTCTACGCAAGCTCACGCCCCATCCAAGGTCACCATGCGGTGTATCTGATAGTGTGACGGCCCATCTCAGTATACGTGAGTTTGGCTTCTTGTTGAACTCAATCCAGGCCCCGATTCTGGTGTCCTCATCAACTTCCAGTTCAAGATCAACACAACCTCCAGCAGATGGTTTCCTCTTCCGAGGAATTACACTGGGTCCATGCAAAGCAGCAGACAGGGTCAACTTTATGTCATCTGGGAACTGGTACGAGATTTGCCCAAATTCTGTATAAACTCTGCTGGCTTCACCATCGTTTAGGGCAACTGAAATCAGCTCCGCAAGAGAAACAGCAAAGTTCTTCGATCTCAGAATTAGGCCACCACCATATCTGTGACTTTTACTCAGCAAAGGTGGACTCAACGAAGAACGCAAACTGGCCAGCCAATGTTCCTGTCAAGCAAACTGTTACCTTACACATTAGAAGGCAAAATGGTACTCCCTCCATTCCAAATTATAAGACATTTTGACTTTTTTAGAAACGTAGTTTTTGCTATGTACTTAGATATACACTATGTCTAGATACATAGTAAAACCAATGTATCTAGAAAAGCCAAAACGTCTTATAATTTGGAATGGAGGGAGTAGCATTGAAGGCATCACTGCTTGTCTAAAGAAATTACCTCTTGGATATTTTGGTCTGTTGAAAAATCTTTACACCTTGCTCCTTTTGGTACAGCAGCAACAGAAAATGAGTCATTGATATTCGACAGGTACATCAACTTTGACAGCGCAAAAGGGGTCTCAATTTGATCATTTTCTTGAGCCATGCATCTATGATCAGTGCTGAGCTCAACAAAGAGGGAATCCTTCTTCCTGACAGGAGCCTCAAACACAAACCGTGAACTAATACCAGATTCTGTTTCTGAGATATCTCTTGGGAGCGAGCCAGCAACATTGATAACACCCTTGACCCGAGTGCTTTCTTCTGCGAATGGACCAACTTTGGTAGCTTTGAACAACGAGATCACTCTTTCAACTTTCTCTTGTCTCTCCCTCAACTGCATAATGTCATAAAACGCTTGTCTCTGCAAACGCTTCAAGATCTGTACCTGAAGTAAATAAAGAATGGAAGGTACATGAATCAGAGGCTACAAAGGAAATGCCAAACAAAATCAAAAGCAGAAACCCATAATTGAACATCAAGTTTACCCCTGTCGCCTGACCCAAAAGCATGTCGCGAATAGAAAAGGCATTAAGGGCACATGAGAAGAAAAGCACCAATTGTTGCCTTCTTGCTGGTGCAACACTAGACATTCCATTTTGCACATGTATTTTAGGAATTAGAACACCACACTTGTCTATCCCATTATCTGTTTATATGAAAGAAACAGAAACAATCCTATCACGTGTCCTTCTTAACTACTGGCACAAATTAATTGACCATGGTTAAATTCTGATAAACTTCTGATTGAATAAAACATGAATTACAAACCCAAACAAAAACATCTGTATCACAGGTTACCTATGCAGCCTCATTGCTCAGGGAAGAAACTGTCTATGCTGTTTGCTGTGTAACACTCAGGGCAGCATTTCCAAACACAACATACCGGCCTTTCAATGCAAACAAACTCACTAGGATGCTAGGACACAACAGTCAGAAAATGGCGCTGATTTTCCCTCCTAATGTGACTGCCAAAAAGAAAAACAAATCCAAAACCTTGGCGATGGGGCTCATATGATGCAGATAAACAAGCGCAACAGATGGGCCTCGGCCTCCACAAAACCCTACATTAATTGACGTTTAAATGCAACTGATAGCACAGCAAACAACTGTAGGAGTAACTCGCTAGGAGCCTAGTAGCACACAACACAACAGTCTGAAAATGGTGCAGTTCATTGCCCTCCTGTTCCTAATGTGGCTGCCAAAAAAAAAACCAAAAACTTGGTACATAAACGAAACAAATAGGCCACAGCTTCCACAAAACCCTACATCGATCGAAAAAAAAGGGGAAAGCTTTAGGCTTTTGGCATTACAGGCACGCTCTAACTAGACCCGCCGGTATCCTCATCCCCGGCAACGTGAACGGGACGGAGTCCTACCTCTACGGCGTGGGCTTTGAACTGCGAGAAGACAGAGAAGGGTGTGGGTTCGCTTACGGGATTGGGGTCGGGGACCGGACACGGCGGAGGGCGGCGGAAGGAAAGGAGGAAGCGCTTGGCGGAGTCAGCCATGTCGGTGGCTCGATTCACCGCACCGGTCCACGCCGCCTCCATCCTCTTCTTCCCCTCGACCACGCTTCCCTCCGGCCTCCGCGACACTGGAGAGCGAGCGAGAGTGTCAAGACTCAGGGGTGAAGGCGTATTGGGCATAAGACGTCACCAGCAGTACATGGCGTATAAGTAGATGTGTGTTTCATGTAATAGAGTATGACTAGTGGGTGTCATGGACCAGTTGGCTACCAGCCTTATATTCTATCGAACCATTGCTTGTAAGACAATTAAGAATATTTGCTATCGAAGTAAACGGAAGACAGAGCCGTACTCTGCTCCTTCCTCGTCGGCGATATCCATCTTGTCTCTCACATCTCCAACGATCACCGTCGATGGACATAGGTGTTACAAGTGGTATCAAAGACCATCTATCCTCGGCCCGCTATTCGATCCCCTTTTCAGTTTCCCGATCTCGATTTCGTTTGCTTCGATCTCATATCGTAATTCCGGGTGGCTGGTAGATCCCCCGCGGCATCCTTGCGGTGTTGTGCAGGAGGTCCCGTAGGTCCATTCTTTGGTTGATCCGAGGTCAGTAGCCTTTTCGTTTTCGTCCACTTCCAAATCCACCAAATCGGCGAGCTCGAGCACCTCGGCAAACACCCTCGGCGGCAGATAATGGTGCGCACAGTCCACGACGAGATCCGGCGGCGCGTCAACGGTCAGCAGCGCTGTCGTCTTCGGCTTTGTCCTCCTCGACTGGGGTTCTACATCGACCGGATCTGGTTCGGCGGCGTGAACCACTGTGAGCTATTTCCCTTCTGCTCACCTGTTCTTCTCTAACTAACATCGTGTACTAGCCCAGGGTTGCGGAGCTCCTGTCTCCGTGTAAAATTTCGTAAGCTAGAGCCGATTGCTGAGCGGTGGCGTACGGCGGGGAACTGTCCTTCGATTTGGGTTACGGAGCATCGTTTCCGTTGTAAAATTCCTCGACCGAGCCTCAGTTCCAGGAGTTGGGTTTCTATGTAGCACACGATAGGGGAGGTCTTGACTTAACCTGTTGCTACACTGCTTGTTTCGTATTGTTTTCTTCATCAGTATTGCATCACGGCACCTTCAAAGCCTCCTAAGCCTTCGGCGCAGACTCAGATCCTACTTGAGCACATGTCGAACATCGCTAATGAGGAGAAGACTCGATGGGGTCAAGTAATGGAGAATTTTGATTTATTGTATGCTAGGCTTAATGATATGGGTATCATACAGCAGGAGGTTAAGCAACAGATCACTGACACTAATCTAAAGGTGGCTCAATGTCAAGTAGACCAACAGTTCATTGCTCAGCAAGTTCATGCTAATGGTCAAGCTGTGGCTCAACTGACTCTGCGACAGTTCGAGAAAGAAGCTAGGTCTGCCAGTTCTAGGTCAGTGGTCGCTGATGATGAGATTGAGTTTGACAATGTCTTTGCACATGGTGGTATGAACCCGCTAGGGTTGAATCCCGAACTTTCGATGAGAGGGCGTGGGATAACTCGATTGGTGGATGGAGACGACGTTCACGGCCCGACTACAACCTTCCAAGCTGTGCCTTACCAACTGATACACCACCTCCAATGGCTGCCGCGATCTTGTTGAGCGCGTCACCCGGCCACTAGGGCACTCGTCCTACAAGCAATCGAAGAACTAGCAAGAACAAGTATAACAAGTACTGAATTTACTAGATGAAGATGAAGGTTTTCAAACTCAATCTCAAATAAGGTGGGGTTCCAAAGACAAGAAGACGGGCGACTGATCCAGCACGCGCGCTTACAAGCAAGTAGCGAGAGTTAAACTTGATCTAAACAAAACCCAACTGTTTTTGGTGGCGACTAAGGGGTATATGAAGGTGGAGGGATGACCACCAGGATATTGGGGTCGTGCTCTAACCCTAGAACGCGTCCCTAATGGACCCGACTTGATACACGGCCCATTGGGCCAAACTAAGGCGGCGCATCATCTTTGGACAGAAAACCTCTCGGTAGTAATTCGGTCATTGCGGCCACCTCAGAATAGATATGGACTTGATTCCAGATCCATGTGAAATATAGACTTCATAAGGATTCCATTAAGTACTTGAACGCCCCAATCCGATCCGTATGCGACCGTGGTGACCATCACAAGTTAGAGCTGTCCTGGAGTCCGAATCTAGCCTACGTGAATCATTTTTCCTTTCGGTCCTCTCCCTGGTTCCTAACCAAAATAAGAGTGCACGTGTCTCTATGGTTTAAATATGATGGACAAGAACTCAAGAGTGAACTTACTTGATGATTAAATTGACGAGCACGGGTGTGAGTAATAGGACCAGAAACTGGTACTTGTGTCGGCGTGGATGTATCGTTGGTGTTGATGTCCTCATCATCCTCCCCTTCTTGCATTTGAGTCGTCCTCGACTCAAGCTTCTTCTTCTTCTTCCAAATATGGCTTCAAATCTGTAATGTTAAATGTGGGACTAACCCCAAAATCTGTAGGCAGATCGAGCTTATATGCATTATCATTAATTTTCTCTAACACTTTAAATGATCCAGCAGCCCTAGGCATCAATTTAGACTTTCTCAATTCAGGAAACCTATCCTTTCTCAAGTGCAACCAAACTAAATCTCCAAGTTTAAATATTAGTTCCTTTCTACCTTTATCACCAACAAACTTATATTTAGCACTCATACGCTCTATGTTTTATTTAGTTGTTTCATGCAGTTTTAACATCAATTCATCATGCTTAGTGGCATCAAAATTTAGTTTTTCAGAAGATGGCAAAGGCATCAAATCAATAGGAGCACGAGGCAAGAAACCATATACAATCTGAAATGGGCACATCTTTGTAGTAGAATGCAGTGAACGATTATAAGCAAATTCAATATGAGGCAAACAATCTTTCCACATCTTAATGTTCTTTTTTAAAATAGCCCTTAACATAGTACACAAAGTTCTATTGACAACTTTAGTTTGACCATCGGTTTGGGGATGACATATAGTAGAAAACAAAAGCTTAGTCCCCAGTTTTTCCCATAAAGTCTTTCAAAAATGACTAAAAAATTTAGCATCACGATAAGAAACAATTGTGTTGGGCACACTATGCAAACGAACAATTTCTCGAAAGAACAAATCAACAATATGAGTAGCATCATCCATTTTATGACAGGGTATGAAATATGCCATCTTAGAAAATCTATCAACAACCACAAACACACTATCACGTCCCTTCGTAGTCCTTGACAAACCCAACACAAAATCCATAGAAATATCTTCCCAAAGAACACTAGGAACAGGTAGAGGCAAATACAAACCGTGTGGATTTAACCATGATTTAGCCTTTTGACATGTCGTGCAACGAGCAACAAACCTCTCCACATCTCTTCTCATCTTTGGCCAAAAAAATGACCTACAAGTATGTCCTCCGTTTTCTTAGCTCCAAAATGCCCCATCAAGCCACCTCCATGCGCTTCCTGCAGCAACAACAAACGAACGGAGCTAGCTGAAATGCATAGCTTGTTAGCTCTAAATACAAACCCATCACTAAAGATGAATTTGTTCCAACCCTTCCCATCTTTACAATGCAGCAACACATCTTTAAAATCAGCATCATTAACATATTGGTCTTTAATTATTTCTAATCCAAAGATTTTGTAATCAAGTTGATTCAGCAAGGTATATCTCCTAGACAAAGCATCAACAATAATATTCTCTTTCCCTTTCTTGTGCTTAATAACATAAGGAAAAGATTCAATAAATTCAACCCAGCATGTCTACGGTTCAATTTCCCTTGACTACGAATATGCTTCAAAGATTCATGATCAGAATGAATAACAAACTCTTTGGGCCACAAGTAATGCTGCCATGTTTCTAATGTGCGAACAAGAGCATACAATTTCTTATCATAAGTAGAATAATTCAAAATAGGCCCACTCAATTTTTTACTAAAATACGCAACATATTTGCCTTCTTGTAACAAAACACCACCCAGTCCAATTCCACTAGCAACACATTCAAGTTCAAAAGTCTTATTAAAATCAGGAAGTTGGAGGAGAGGTGCATGTGTCAACTTATCTTTCAGCATGTTGAAGTTCTCTTGTACTTTGCCCCAACTAAAAGGCACTCCCTTCTTTGTCATCTCATTCAAAGGAGCAGCAATGGTGCTGAAGTCCTTCACAAAACAGCGATAGAAACCAGCAAGTCCTAGGAAACTCCACACTTGTGTGATAGTCTTTGGTACAGGCCATCCCTGTATAGCTTCTACCTTGGCTTGATCAATCTCAATTCCCAGTGGAGTCACAACATAGCCAAGAAAAGACACTCGATCGGTGCAAAAGGTGCACTTCTCAATGTTACCAAATAAACGTGCATATCATAAAGCATTAAAAACATCACGTAAGTGATCAAGATGTTCATCCATAGATTTGTTGTAAATCAATATATCATCAAAGTAGACTACAACAAATTTTCTAATGAAAGCACGTAGAACCTCGTTCATTAATCTCATGAAAGTACTAGGTGCATTAGTTAACCCAAAAAGCATGACTAACCACTCATATAAACCAAATTTAGTTTTAAAAGCAGTTTTCCATTCATCTCCCAATTTCATATGAATCTGGTGGTACCCACTACACAAATCAACTTTGAAAAACACAACATCACCACTCAGTTCATCAAGCATATCATCCAAACGTGGAATAGGGTGTCGATATCGAATGGTGATATTATTAATAGCTCTACGATCAACACACATACGCCATGTTTCATCTTTCTTAGGCACTAAAATAACAGGAACAACACAAAGACTAAGGGACTCACACACATAACCTTTGTCGAGCAGTTCTTGCACTTGTCGCTGAATTTCCTTCGTTTCTTCTGGATTTGTCCTGTATGGCGCACGGTTTGGCAAAGATGCACCAGGAATAAGATAAATTTGGTGCTCAATCCCTCGTATTGGTGGTAGTCCCGCTGGTATCTCACTTGGAAAAACATCCGAATACTCTTGCAAAATATTAGCA